AGTTCCCTAAACATGTCGCTTGTTTTTCAAATGAATGATAAACTTAAATAACAGTTACATAAATATGTTATGATTTTGTTTGTAAAATTTCGCTTTTTTTTCATATTCTATATTGTAAAAACAAGATTTACATTGTGAAAACGTGTCATTAAAAGTGGTTAATTTTTATCAACAATAGTTTAAATCTTCATTTTTGATATTTTTTAATAAACACAATTATTAACAGTAATTTAAGAAAATTTGGGAAATTTATGTAAGTATTTAAAATAATTGTTTAAGAAAACAATTTAAATGATATTGTTGTTATTGAAATGAATATCAAATTTGAAATTGTCTGCTTTGTGTCTATATCTTGTTTTTGATTTTTCTTATTACAAATAGAGTCAGTCAAACAACGTTGTCCTTTCTCCAAATTTAATCCTTTTAGTTTTATATTTTTAGAATTAAAAACGATTTTATCAAAAATTTAAATCAAAGACAAATTCAACATTTTTTTACCACCAGTTTTCAACTATAATAAAAAATAGAGTTTCTTTTAGTAAATATTATTTTTAATTTTGTTAAAACAAAATTTTCTTTTGTTCTATTATTCCCCCTTTTCTTGCAAAAATCAACTTAACTTAAAATGAAACTGTGATAATAATAAATAATATAAAATATATAAACATATTTGAAAACTTGAAATAACAACTAAATTCATCACCCATACCAACACTTGGATATTAGGACATATGGACATTGATTGGTTCGACTCCCATTAACTTTGAAAATGTCTTTCGACCAATTTATAATTTAGATGTTAAAGCCGAAACATTCCAGTATATACAGGATTTGTATAATAAACTGAATATACAATTGTATGCACATGTCAATAGAAGTATATTTAATTACAACAATTTACCAAATTACACCACCGCAGATATGGCAGAAACTTTGGAGTACTTCAAGTGTCAATGTAAAGTAATCGAAGAATTGCTTGAAGCATCACGTAAAGCGTATTGCAGTATACTCGACATCAAAGAAATTAACACCCACATTGTTAATTGTTTAACAATCCTAAAAAGTTATGAACAGAAACATCATGGATTTAACCAACTGTATTATATATTAAAACAGTTGAGATGTCCACTCCCGGGGGAACGTGTTGTTTCGAATCCAATACAAAATGTTGTTCCTCAAACACAACAAAGTCCTGAAATACACGTCAACAATGATGATGCTATTGATATCATTAACTCTGTAGAAAGAGTTGATGAAGTTGACGAAGACAAAAATGACCACACACGGGGACACGAAGAATCTTCATTATCAATGGAGTAAATTGACCTGTACTTAAATAGAGACATTCAGATTGAACCTTGTCTATCAGATGCCGAATTTGATTGTGATAAACTAATGGATTATCTTGAAAAAATCAACAGAGTAGACCTTTATGATTATGTGCTCGACACATTAACCAGATTTTTCAAACTTGGAAAAAACAAAGCCGCTCCGAATAGACGAATTCAGTTGTTTAGATGTAAAGAATACATGACAAAGAAATTAGAAATTAAAAGTGACGAATTTTATTCAAGTTTGACAACAAATTTGTCAAAAGAAGTGTGGAAGAGACAAATTAAATTGGTAAAAGAGCAGCGAGGCAAGTCAGGTAGAGGGTCATTGTTTAGTGAGTTCGAATCGACATTGATTGTCGAGTTTGTTAAACAAAGAGAAAAGAGTAACGATCCTGCGACTTATAACGACATGAAGTCGTTTATAATCAACGACCTCGATCGCGAAGACATCAACGCAAAAAGTCTCTATGGTTTCGTCGCAAAAGAAAAAAGAATACAAACTGCAAAAGGTCAAATAATGGAAGAAGAAAGAGTTACCGTGAACATGGAACAAATTAATTGTTATTTTGAAATACTAGATAATGAAATTAGTGGAATTCCGACCGCCTTTATATTTAATTGTGATGAGTCGGGGTTCCAAAAATGGGTGGATCAAATGGATCACACTGTGATAATATCTGCCAGAGACGGTACATCCAATGTGAACGTGCCAATTTCCAGGGAGGGAAAAAGACAAACAATGTTGGGCACTATTTGTATGGACGGTTCATCACTTCCGCTATTCTTCATTGTTCCTACTTTGTCTGTGGAAAAAGAATTATTAGCGAACGTAATAACAAAAGATAGAGTTTGTCTGAAGTATGCAAGGAAGTCGTTCATGACAAAAGTTTTGTTCAACGAGTGGCTTCAATGTGTATTTATACCATCAATTGAAGATAAAAGAAAAAAATTAAATTATCATGGTAAAGTAGCACTCATAATGGATGGTTATGGATCACACGTGAGTGTATCTGCAATTAAAATTTTGACATATAACAACGTTCGCGTTTTTCTCATGCCAGCGCACTCTTCACACCTACTACAGATGTTAGATGTTGGCATCTTTGGTAGCCAAAAACGCATGTGCTCAACAGATTCCACCTTTTCTGGAGAAGATTATTCGGAATTGTCATACAATGCAATTCAGATTTTAACAATCGTGAATGCATGGGAAAAAGTCACAACTTCGAAGAATATTATTTCTTCTTTTATTGCATGTGGACTTGTACCAAGATTGACAAAAGCGTTGAGCGTTGTATGTGAAGTGATAAAGGAAAGTTGCCGGAAGATCGAGGATTATGTTAGTGAAGAAGCAATCAAGTTGTGTATGACATCTTTCGAACCCACATTATCTGATGAATTGCTTAGAAAAAAAAGCATTAAAAAAGATTAGACGAGAGTCAAGACTTATTGAAAAATCAAAACTTCCAATTAAGCATCATATAGAGATATATTGTCATCGTCGGGTCAAGTTATCACAGTTATAAATTGTTTTTTATATTTTTTTAAAAACAGTTGTTAATTATTGTAAAATACAATGAAATTTTTTATATATTATGCTCGTTAATTAAAATTATATTAACTATAATTTAACAATCGTTAATAATATATATAACAAGGGTAAAAATTTGAATGGGTTCAGCGAACACAAAAAACATAAGACTTTGTGTGTTTGAAATTTGATGTTTAATAACAAGTAGCTAAGAAGCAACTAACATATAGAATTGGTGTCATAACCACACTCAAATGTTGTCAACAGTCCTAAATACAATGGTATGCTATACACACCTGAAACATGTAAATTTGGTCTTACTATCCAATTTACAATTCTATCTATGTTCTTTGTAACACATTCTCGCCTTTAAAGTTCTTTCTAATCAAACGCAGCCTTTTGCGATGGTTATCTGAAAACGTTTCTGTTCAGAAAAATAACAATGATCTTGAAATTTATTGTTTTTTTGTTTTGATTTGTTATTGAGTTTGAAAAATAAACAAAAAATTAAAATATAAAACAAAAAAAATTGGTTGCATGGGCGGTTTTAAATTTATTTTGTATTCATTTCGAAATAAATAGAAAATGCATCGAAAAAATCGAAGGGGACAACGTTTGGAGAAAGGACAACGTTGTTTGAATGACTCTAGAGGAA